TGCCCCCGTAGTTCCGTAGTATCTAAGGAGTTGACTCACCCGCTTGGCCCGTTATCTACTAGGGCGAGGCAATCATGCAGCAGGGAGTTACCACCACCCAGCACAGCACCAACCAGAGGTTACCACTAATAACTCCAGGGATGGCCAGTGTGCTTATGAGTGAGCAATGTGTATAAGAAGAACTCCTTCAAGGGCAGAACAGCTTCTTCATCTGGTCGAGTAGAGTACTACTAGCTAGAGAGGATCAGATGCTTTGTTGGTTTGTTTCGGGTGGTGTTTGCTTTGGTGGTTCGTACAGCTGTATGGAACGTCATGGTGATGTTTACAGTTACTACGGTAGTCGTACCGTACTCAGGACTACCGTCACTGGTATGATAGTCGACCGTAATCGGTCGAAGGAAATTCACAGTCACATTTCACATTCATGTTGTCGTCGGAATTGGGATTGTTAAATGTGACGTCATCCACATGTTTCGAAACCACGTTATATCGATCTTCATGCCTGAGGACAATGTAAACTAGATCCTTTCCGAGTTATGAAAGAGTTTCTTATCAGTCTTATACTACGTAGAATCTTGCTTTTTCTTGATCGCGATCCACTTCCCTTGACAGAGTTTGAGACTGAAAATCTCAAACTGTCGGCCATGAACGGAAGATTTCGATATTTTTGTTGAACGACTTCGAAGCCCCGTCACGCATCCACCTACCAAAATAGGCACGACAGATTATTTTCAATATTACAGTTAATTTGTGTCGATCTGTCGATTTTTTTCTTTCATCGTGAGGTCGATGATGGGTTGTACCGGAGTAATATAATAAGTACTACTACAGTATAATCAGGGACACCTGACAGCTGCTGTCGTCGAGCAACGTACCGTAGTCACTTCACTGCTCTCTGTGCAGCAAGACCACATATCTCTCGCCTCCGAAGGTTGCCGAACAAAGGAAAACTTCCTCGTGGCCGAATCGACAACAAAAGAAAATTTTATTGAGCAATCAAATAATTGCAAGGAGTCGGAAGGAGAGACATCAAAGCCCGGTGGCAATATTGCTCTCCTCTTTTCCATCCTTCACCATTTGTACCCTTCACTCATCGTCTGCCGTTACTGTTCCGTATTCAGATACTCTATCCCTCTATCATAGCTTGCACTGTCTGCATCTTCCAATCTCTCATCCAAACCAGTTCCACGGACCGATGAAAATGACTGGCACCAAACTGAAACACCATCAACTGCTATGGAACGACATATCTTCCTTATTCCTTTTATGGTTGATCAACTTACCTTCGCAAGTGGTTGCACAATCCTGCTTTGACAATTTCTATGACATTTACCAACGAGAGTCCATTGTGACGGACACGACGTTTCCTCGATTGTACACTGTGTGTCCTCGTACTATTTACGAAATTGCTACTTTGGACTTTAATGGCAACATCAAGGAACCCGTCGAGTCGGGCGTTCAACCACCACTTCCACTTCGCGCCAACATGACCATTCGTTGCGGAGATCTTGGAGCCAGAGACAGTTTGTGTTGGTTGGCGGGGGGCGACATCCACATGGATGGAACGGCTGTTCGAGGGATCAATGATGAGACCGTTGAGGGTGTGTCGATTGAAGGATTTGTATTTATTGGAGCGCGACGACATTCTCTGTGGGCCACCAAGCCAGGAGATATCACCTTCAAGGATTGCGAATGGAGGGTATGTGCAATGTTTTTGTAGATCGGCGAACCGCGATTTCATGAGTCTAGTGATTTCTCACATTCTTCTTCAATTTGCATCTTGTTGATAGGAGTTTGTAAGTTCACAAGTGCCCATCATGTTGGATTACTACGATGCCAACAGTCCGTCAAGTAAACTGGTGGCGACTTTTGAAGATTGTGAATTCAAGGTACATAGAAAATCGCAGCAAGGATAGGTACTCCAAAATGATTCGATCACACCATCATGCTCACTCTCTTTTCGACTTTCCGTCTTGGTGGTAAAGGACAATCGTTATTTTGGAATGGGATCAATGAACTCGTTGATATACGGAAACAGTGCACAAAATACAATCATCGTTAAGCAGTCACTTTTTCAATACAATGATATGATCATAAATAATACAAGGGTACGAGTCAACAAAAATTCATATTTATTCAGATTTGTTCCCCGTTGTATCTTCTCATTTTCCCTTCCCACCTTCATTCGCAGCCCGATACCCACAGTTTTATCATCGAATCACTAGGGCCAACGTCTGTTGAGAACTCCTGCTTCCAAGACAATCTCGTCGGAGCCTCTGACATTGTTGTTTTTGGAAGTTCATTCGAATCGAGTACGAACCATGCTTCCAATAGTAGCGGATCTCTATGCAGCTTTTCTTCTGTCTTTCAAAATATTCAGCAGTTTGATGCCTTTACACCAGATTGTGTCGAGGCCACATCCGATGCCTGTGCACGCTATGTCACGGGACCGCCCAGTATTGCACCCTCGGAGGGTCCCACGGCAGTTGCTTCGGATGCACCCAGCTTCTCCCCAACAAATGGGCCAACAATTACGCCTTATCCAACAGGTTTAGCATCCGACAGTCCTTCGCTGAGTCCATCGACACTTGGAGATGTTGTTGCGTCAAGCGAATCACCCGTGGAGTTTACTTTTCCCGACACATCAGTTCCCGCAGCTGGAAGTACCTTGTCCTCAATTGGAAAAGCTACTTCAATTTTTTGCATGAGCATCATCCTCTGCTATCTCTGCATTTAGAACGTCGCCTTTTCTCTAACGCAAGCTGGTAGGACTGCTCTTACGTCGATCCGATTTATCAGCTACCTCACCAATATCAAATCTATCATAGTGTAGACCAACATTGTATATTCTTTGGAAATTTTGCTACAGAAGCAGTTTGTAACTACATGGCTGTCTAGGTAGTAGGCTCGCCTTCCATTGATCAATACCCGTTGTACTGACTGTGAAGGAGAGCAATAATGGGCTTCCCATTGGCAAGATGATTTTGACTATGAGCGCGGGTAAGGTTTTCTACTCTGAGCTAAACTCTGGGGCCACACCAAAGCTATGGGTAGCTTTAACGCAGTCCTTTTTATGGGAAGGTGGTTTGGAGTTCTACGACAGAGTGATGTCTATCGAATCAAGAACTCGTGAAAGCTCGAAAACACAATGGAAAACATCATAACTGTACACAAAAACATTCTTCACACAACACACAGTTCATGTTTTTGTCAAAATTAATTTTCTTTACCAGCTAACTGTAAACAACAAAAACATAAGATCGATACTATCCTCTCGCAGGTGATGTGCAATGTCAAAATTTTGGGCATCTTCAGACGGTTCCTCCGAGGAGTCGTCAACCCAACAAGACGAAAGTAATGACAACACAAAGAATGGCGCTAAAGATACTTTGTCGCAACACATTCCGTTAGAGTTTGAAGCAGAAGCAGGGCGCTGCTTAGCATGTGATCCAAATGCGATTTGGGAAGAAATACGCGACAAGCAACTGTTTGTAGGTGTACCATCCATTCCCGTAACTAGCACCTTCGACCGACGAAAGAATAGCACCCGACTTGTCATTATTAGTGACACGCACGGGCAACATCGTAATGTCCATCTCCCAAAAGGCGACATTTTGATTCGCGCGGGAGATTTTACCAAGACGGGCGAAGTCGGGACGATACAAGACTTGAGTCGATACTGTGAGGAATCTGGTTTTGCAGAAATAGTCGTGATCGCAGGCAATCATGACATGACGCTGGATCCGGAGTATTACCAACGAAAGTGGCAACGATTCCATAGAATACCCCACGATTGTCAAGCGGCACAAGCAGCCATTGAGCGAAACTGCCATTATTTGAAGGATTCCACTTGGACCAGCCTATCTGGTCTGAACCTCTACGGGTCGCCGTTCTCGCCTGACTTCTTTGACTGGGCCTTCAATCGACCACGGGGGCCACCCATTCGACAGGTGTGGGACAAGATTCCAAGCCAAGAGGAACTTCCCCTCGATATTCTCATAACGCATACTCCACCTCTGGGAAGAGGAGACTTGACACAAGAATTTGTACGCGCAGGGTGCTACGATTTGCTGCAGTCGATTCAAACAAGGATCAAACCGCGAGTGAATATTTTTGGACACATCCATGAAGGATACGGTACGTCCTTCGATGGTCAAACCCTCTTTGTCAATGGCAGTAGCTTGGACGTGAGATTCCAACCAATCCACCGTCCAATCGTCGTCGATGTTTCACACGCGGACAAAGCCGAGCCAGCTCATATCGTCGAACCAGTGAACACTTACGCAACAACAAAGTTGGAACTAGAGCGGTGGTGTATGGATCGTGGCTACAATGTTGTCACAGAGGCATTGAAGAAATGCGACGATGATGACTTGCCACTTGGAAACGATCTATTCAAGGCAAATGCACTGTCGAACCTTTTGGAGAAGTTGTGCTTGCATTACTCCAAAGAGGGACAAAAGGAGTTGAGAGACATGCTGGGGAAACTGTATGCCGAAAGCTTTTGATGTGATACTTTTGGTGGTACTTCAGATAGGGACAAAGATTGTTGCAAGGTGTGCTGGGGAACCAGACACTTTATGTCAAGATCTTTTGACGTGGAATATTTTTCAGAGGCATTTTTCAAATGAACAGCAATGGTGGAAAAGATACCTCCTACATGAAGTAACAGGTGTTGCTAACTGTAAATGGCTCACAATATTGCACGTATTGATTTGATAAATGGGGCTGACAGACTTAGTAGTTTGATCAGATTTTTTCAGCCGTCATTCATTTTCAAATCGGCACATCTACACAAGTGCAATAGTCTCGATGTAGAGTACAAATGCTTTGATGCTTTTCTCTTGGCATGTTAAGATGATGGCATTTGGAAACAGATTTATTGCTATTCAATATACATCGCTAGCAATTCGTATGAAAACAAAAAAGAGGAAAGAGAAAAGCGTTCTTTGCCTCGTCTATTTTACAGTCACGGTTTTTTGAAAGGGGCAGAAATTAAAAAAAAAGTTTTGCTTCTCTTCGATTTTGCGTGTCATCCTTGCACAGGGACCATGCTAATCTTCTGCTCGTGTGGGATGTGAGGACATCGTTGTGAGATAACGCCTACAAGGACAACGCAGATGGACGTGATAATAGCATAGTACTTATCCTTACCTCTGTATATTTAAAGCTTTGTTTAATGGCTAGGTCCGAAGACCTAACCGGATAAATGGCCGAATTTAAGGTATATAAAGATATATAACAACAGCTACTAGCTGTCAACAACGGCACTGTTCAACCAACGGGGTAAATCATGCAACTTCGGAACTGGAAAGGCAAATACCCTAAAGGTCTAAAAAACCTTCCATATCCACGAGGCCATTCATAAGAAAGCAGTAGATTGTAAACATTTCCCAGGATTGGCCTGTGGTAAGTTACTCCCTGAATTGCGTCGTCCCCAGGGGCACGGTAAGCCAACTTCTGAGACGTGGAAATAGGCGGAAGCTAGTAGTTGGTAAAGCCATAAATTAAATCTTGATTATTCCTCGCCAACCTATTGTCACGCCAGCAGTCCACCAAAAAGATGTCACCACTGCCACCAAGAGCCATGTTGTCCTTAACTCATTGAATCGATCTATCAAACCGATAACATCTCTTTCGCACACCTCAAGAGAACAAAACAACTAACTTTTCGGAGAAAATGCAATGGAAGGTAAACAACAACATTGTCCATCCAAGTTTTCTGCCACAACCGCCAGAACTATTCTCTTCGGGGCCAGTTGTGTCGGTGGTACTGGCACTATGTTCGTTATCGGCACTTTCTGGATTTGAGTCCACTTCATGTTCGCTGTTGACGTCATCTCCACTGTCCTCAATGGTGTTCTGCTCCTTGTCTTGAGAATCTGCAATAATAATTTGTGGAGCATCAACTGCGCACGTTTCTTCCAGATTTGTTGAGTCAAACGTAGGGAGGGTAATGTAAACTTTCACTCCGCTCAACGTGATGGCTTGTGACCCAGACTTTGCATCCACGAAATTGTTTTTTGCATCGTAGGAAATCGTAATGGGTGAAAAATCCAACGATGGCAATGGTCTCGAGTGCGCCAAAGCAACCATGGCTTCTGCCAGAATATAGGCCAGAGTCCCAATCTTGACTCCAAGTGTGCTACCACTAAAAGGAACGCTGATATAGGCCCGGTTGCGAACAGCACGGAGTTGCCTAGCTGTGGGGTGTTTGCAGAGATTCAAAATCTTTTCGTCTGGTCGAAGGAATGAATCAGCATTTCGTTAAAGGTTCCTTATCACGTGAGTATAGATGAAACAAAGTTACTCAGCAAAAACTCACCGGCAGGGTCCCAGGAGGCATCCACCAGGACAATGACATCTGGATCGGCTGCAACAATGTCCTCCCAAGGCACAAATTCCCAGCTACGACGTTCTTCGGTGCCCAAATTTCCAAAGATATTCTTTGCCCCGGTATGTTCCATGATGATTTGTGGCGATCCGCAACAAGCCCCCACGTAGGGCTCGCTTTCGTCCCATGAATCGAGCCATAATACCTTGATGGCAGCATCTGGGTCGTCTGTCACTGCAGGTCGAGACACTTGCAAGGCTTTGGCGAAATGGTCTTCAATATCTGCTTGGAGGGCGGCGGCACGATCGGGAACGTTGAAGATATTTCCAATATCGGCAAGCTCGGCGAAGAGGCCGCCCTCGACAGATAGATTTTCAGGGCGATGTTCCACCAGCTCACAAAAGGCTGTTTGCAAATAGGTTTGAATGCCATAATCGTGCAACTCAGGTCGGCAATATGCATTGTGGCCTCCACGACCTTCCAAGACAAGCTCGCAGTCTTCCCCAAAGATAGAATGGTAATCAATGGACGAATTCGAGAAAGCACTGGAGTACGATCCATACAAAAAATCAGGATTCACAGACATGAGGCTTTCAATGTCAGGATATGTATCAGAAAGAACAGGCACCTTATCGTAGTCCTCTTTGTACAATGGCCAAATCTCGTCGTCGAGATACGCTGTACCAACCATGTGATCGACCAATCCCAACGCCAACATAATTTCGGTCGTACCCTGATTAAGGGTGACGGCTCGTTGAGGAGGCCCTTTGATCACAGATGTCACGTTACAATTTGTGATGGTAACAGGAAAAAGGTCACCATCGCGCTGACATTGTCCAGGTAAGACCGTTCCGGACAACAAAAACAAGACCGAAGTCGAGGAGGAAGAGGAAAACTTCATGGTAAATAAGAGGAATGTTTCGGGTACTGTGGTCGTAATGCAACACTGCGATTAATGTGGTTGTTGTTTGTAAGGAAATGTGAATTCCTGAGGATAGCAGCGGCCCTTTTCCAACGAAAAGGGTGAAGAGGTTGCTTGCTCTTTCTTGCTTCTTGGAGTATCTTTTCACCTGTTTTTTTTCTAAGAATAGCCTCTTCCGTAGTCTCATTTTTGTGATTTCTGAAAGGCCGTGGCGATTTTTGTTGTGGCCTGAACCGATTACTCCGTAGAACCTACAACTCGTTTTCAATTGACGGCTGATAGAAGACGTATCCATAAAATATTAGCGTATCCATAAAATAATAGCGACGAAAGAAGCTTCGAATTTTCAGTTGACATGAAAGTCACAACCTTCTGTTTTCGCCGTTGCCGACGAGATTATGTACCGCAATACGGCTCTCTTGAATCGTCACAAGGAAACGTAGGCAGAAGTCAGAGCGAGGATAGCGAAAACAATGTCAGTGGCATAGTATTTGTTGATTCCAACAATCCTACGGTCAAAGTTTCGGTTGCTCAAGTCCCCTACTGGCTTGCCATTACGACGATTGGCTTTCACCTCTTGCCACAGTATTCTCAGCTGATGTATTTGACACGAGAGAGCCATTTATTGGGCAACACTTGTACCACAACATCTGAATGGACTTGGATTTTTTTCGCATCTTTCCTTTGTATCCTCTTCCCTCGCGCTTCGTTGAAACAGGGTAACCGGGCTCGTAATCCACAACGTTTTCCATGCAAATATAGTTTTCCGATTACAATCCTGAGAATGAACATTCTGTGGTATGCAGCAGCGTGCATCGGACCTTTTTTTTGGTACGACGATGTCAATCGATTCCAACTGAACTTTCTTGAGCTTTTGAACTTTTTAGGAGCAAAAGCAGCTTGGCCAGCCCTATGGAACTTCAGCCTATTCATTTTGTTTCCGATTCACCGCAATGCTAGCTCCTCCCATACCAACTCGATACTGGATATGTACCTGCGAATGCCAAATCGGACTTCTATAGAAAATGTCAGCGGCAATCTTATAAAAACAAAAACAGACTTGCGAGTGGTCCACATTCAATCAGCTATTGCTGCTGCTTTCTGGCTCACAGTTCACGCGGTTTTCATCTTCATCGTATACTGTTGTCGTGCGAATTCGTTCTTAGACCTACTCCAAAAAATGATCCCAATGGTTCTTTTTGTCAATGGGAAATACGCACTCTTCTATACAGAAGGTATTGTGAATTTTGAAGGATGGGTAGCATGCTTAATGCTCCTAGGGCTGTGGATCACAGCTTCAAAGTCTTGTGGGATCCGACAGAAGTACTTTGAAGCCTTCGAATATCTTCATATTCTCTTCGCTGTGGGATTCCTGCTCTTTTCAAACTTGCATGACTACAACACTTTGTTGTTTGCGTGGCCTGGACTGGCCGGTCTTATGGCAGATCGTCTATGGAGCATGAATCTGGGAAATACATCCTACAGGTATTGCATACCTACGGCGGCAAATAACGACTACATGACTCGCTCATCTCCGCCCTCTGGGACCGAGAAGGTGCTCGTTGGAATGTACCAAGGCACGAGAAACTTATTGCGACTTACCGTCAATTTTCCAATGACTTCCAACATAAACAGCGACTTACGAGGGTTAGAGGGACACCAGAACTGCAATCTATCATGTCCCCGTGCTTATGCTGGAATGCATTTCTTGGTCAACGACAAGTCGATCTCTTCGCACCAATGGCATCCGATATCGGTTGCTTCCGTTGATCGCGAACAACAGACTATCACGCTTTATGTGAAGGACATAGGTGACTGGTCAAATGCGTTCATTGAAAAGTGGCACCAGGAAAGTAACGAGGAGAGGGGTAACAGAGAGGTGCTGCTGAATCTTCGGGGTCCTTTTGGTCCAAACTTAGCCCTCTGTTGATCGAAAGCGGTCGTAACTTCGTCTTTGTAGCGGGAGGAATAGGTATTACTGGATTATCAGTATTAATTCAGCAGTGTCTACAGCTGGGTGTGAACTTTACAGTTATTTGGTTGACTCGATCCCGGAACGAGATGCTTGCTTTAGGGCACGACCTCTTCTGGAATCATTTACTTGAAAAGACACATCCGCACCTCATGACAGTCAATCCTCGTCATGATGTATCATCACTACCAAAATTTCAAGTATTTGTGACGGGAGACGAATCAGAGCAAATCGTACAAACCGGTCGCTCTTGCCATCTTGAAGAAAGAATGGTTGGGAATGTTGGCATTATGGAACGCAGTTACAATGCTATTTCCCAATGCGATTTTTCACTATTTCCTGGTCCTTTGACAAGAATGATGACAATTTCGATAGGAATGGCCTTCAGCTTCCTCCTTTCACGTCACTTGTGTTGCACGCAATCAAATATTTCCAATGAAATCGACAACTCCTCTTCCTCTCGTGTAATATTTACTTGTGGCCCGATTGCGCTTACAGACTCCAACCAGTGTCAGCCTTGCGAGACTCCAGACGACATTCGTCAGCAACTTTCTGGATCATTTGGATGTTGCACGGCAACAACGTGCCACCTGTGCTTTCGGGGACTCCCAGTTCTGTTGATTGTCGTGCTGACTCCCATTTTGGCGTATCTCCACCTGTCGTTGGTCAAAATGTTGCACTCGCGCCATTGTCGTTCTCACCAGCGCATACCAGAAAGGTCAGTTGTGGCGGATCCACGAATAAACAACTTTGTTCCTTCTATAAACCCTTCTTCGGAGGCTCGAGATGATGATTTGTCACGGATGAACGAAACAACAATTGTGTACGGCTTGCGCCCGGATATCAGAAATCTTTTGCAAAATGCATTGACTGG